TAACCACTACACCATGCTAGCTGCATCTCCCTAAATCCACCAGCTAGTATGGCTCCAGACATACCTCTTTGCTCAGAGCTTAGAAAAGTGACTCCTAGGACTATAAGCCCCAAGAATCCTCTACCTAGCCTGGCCTCTGCCATTGAATCTACGTCTGGATTGAATACCTTGACTACATCAGTTAAACTTCAGACTAAAACCTGGAACACCCCTCAACCTTGGAGCCACCAGCTGCCAGCATCTCAGTCAGAGTTGAGCCCGATTGCATTGCAGAGGAGTGGGATATAAATACATTATTATTATTATTATTATTATTATTATTATTATTATTATTATTAATGATGGACTGTCCTTTACTGAAGCCACAGACCTGAGATTGCAGCAGTCAAGGCAGACACCTAGGAGGGATGATCTGGATTCAGGGCACCATAAAGCCTCAGTTGATCTCTAAAATGGGAACAGGCCATGCTTGCTGGTGGCTTCCATGTCAGTGGGCCAGTGAATCCGCTCTGGTTTTAAGTCCAATATTTAAAGGAGCCATGCAAAGTGCTGGCAATAGGGTTTGGCATCCAGAATCACTCTTGTTCAGGGGCACAGTAACTGCTGAAGCTCTTAAGTACAGTTCAGCTGAGAGCAGACTTTATACGAAACATGATCTAAATGAATTTGCAGCATTCTTTTCTGCGGTCTGATCCACTCTCAGTGTATTTACTCTTGTTTATATTTTGGAGCCTGCTCAAAGGGGACACTTCTTTTGTTCGTCTTTTGCTCCCTTTGTTCTCTTTGGTTTGCTTTGGTTTTGTACTCCTCGGCTTTTGTGGGTCCTCGAATATTTGCAAACACGTCTACAAAAACATCAGTTGTAAACACTGTCTATGTAATTTGGTTTTTGGTTTCTTAAAAAAATAATAATAAGAGAGACCAAATCAGCCTTTCAGATCTTCCTCTAACTTTTTCAGCACAGACACAGACACCCATTCCAACATCTCAGCTCATTTCATGCAGACAGCCATTATGCAAACCGACACAATCGAAATGCTTTCGGCGGGCATCATGCTGGGCAAGCTTTGCCTGGGCACAGAGAGCAGTCTGTCAATCAATGAACCACAAGCCTGGCCTGCGTCTCCTTGCACTCTGCCATTTTACGGATCCTCCCCAAACACAGCTTGGTAGCTTGATCCTGCCCTGGAGAAAGCTTCCACATTTGGGTTGCAGCGGCCTGATATGGAGGCATCTCCAACCTTTCCCTGTCTCCCGCTGCGACTAATTTATCCATGCTACAAAACCTCCATAAAACAAGGAACAGACCGAATCATACTTGGAAAGAGGCTAGCCCTCACTTTATTTTACACCCACCATCAAACTGTAGCACAGTTTGGTCATTTTATAAATTGGGCTAAATGGGAAGGAGTGTGTTTTAAGAAGGAATAATATGCATGTATGTATTTTGTTTTGTAAGTCTTATTATACAGGTTGAGTCTCCCTTATCTGAAATACGTGGGACCAGGGGTGTTCTGGATTTCAGATTTTATTTTATTTTATTTTATTTGGATTTTGGAATATTTGGAAATACATAATGAGATATCTTGGATATACATAATGGGATATCTTGGGACCCAAGTCTAAACACAAAATTCATTTATGTTTCATGTACATCTTATACATGGTCTGAAGGTAATAGGTAATTTTTAAAAAAAATAATCTTATGTACGAAATAAGGTTTGTGTATATTGAACCATCAGAAAGCAAAGATATCACTATCCCAGCCACTCATGAAAAAAAGTTTTGGTTTTTGGAATACTTTGGATTTCAGAAATCCAGATAAGGGAGATCCAACCTGTTTATGGATTTATATTTGCAGCTAAGTGGGAGTCCAGATTGTTGTTGTTGTGAGCCTTCAAAGTTGTTTCTGACTTACGGTGACCCTAAGGCAAACTTATCACTGGGTTTTCTTGGCATGTTTTGTTCAGAGGTGGGTTCCCTTTTGCCTTCTTAAAGAGTCCAGGGTCACTTAGTGGATTTCAATGGCAGAGCAGAGATTTGAACCCTGGTCTCCAGAGCCATAGTCTCTCAAGTAAGCTCTCAAAGCCCCAAATACCTGCTCCTAAAGCCTACTCTGTTGGTATCAGTGTAAAAGGGATTATTTTTCAAGTAAGAGAAAAGCAGGTAGAGCTCAGAATTGATTTTGCAGATAGGATTCAGCACTTTGGACAGATCCTTTAAAGTTCAGACACCCAGAGCAGATTCCCCACCTTAATGACATGGAAACTACCAAACACCACTGAGTAAAACAGATAGATCTGCCCACCCTCTAGTTTCATTTAATACGATCTCAGTCAAATATTCTCAAAATAGATTTTATGAGATCATTCTTCCCTTCCCCTGACTCTTGACCAAGAATGTTAGACAAAATAACCCCTGCAAAGTCTTTTGAAAGTTTCTTCTTTATTGTTGAGTCTTAACTGGGAATGTGGCTGAATCTCCACTGCAGAAATAATTCAGTTTGACACTCCTTTAACTGCCATGGCTCTGTCCTATGGAATCCTGGGATTTGTAGTTTGTTGTGGCACCAGAGCTCTCTGACAGAGCAGGCAAAATCTTTCACAAAACTATTCACAAAACTACCTCCCCACCAGAATTTCATAGCATTGAGCCAAGACAGTTCAAGTGGTGTCAAACTGCATTAATTCTGCAGTGCAAATGCAGCCAGAGAGTATTTTATTTCTTGTCATTAGCATCCATTGGTTTGTGTCCTATTCCCTAGAGCAGCAGAAAATAAGCTTGCTCCACCTTCTCTATGCCTTTGCCTACACTGATGAGTATGACTGATTTGGTTTCTAATATAAGAATCACGGTCCTAATTTATCCATAAAAGAACAATTTGATTAGATTGTTGGAAAATCTTTTCTATTTTAATTATACTCGTGGGTGGAATAAATAACCTTGTATTTGTGTTCTGGAAAACAGTAATACATAATAGGAAATTCTTCTTAATAGACTGGATCAACATCTGGAGGAAATTGAAAAGCTTAAGTTGATATGCTTTATAGGGGGGCCTTGAACAGCACTGAAGAATTTGCACAATGCATCCTGGAGCACAGATGGTCAAGAGGAAAGAAAAAGATCATTACACATATCCGATTGATGGTTTATTGCTGTTGTTGTGTACCTTCAACCATTTAAGGCTTATGGCGACCCTAAGGCAAACCTATTACATGGTTTTCTTGGCAGAATTTGTTCAGATGGGGGTTGCCTTTGCATTTCTCTGAGGTTGAAAGAATGTGACTTGCCCAAGGTCACTCAGTGCATTTCCATGACTCAGTGGGGATTCAAACCCTGATCTCCAGAGTCATAGTCCAACATTCAAACCATTGCACCATGCTGGCTCAGGAACCCTACTTACTTTCAACCAGAAGTTGGATGCAAAGAAGAATGGAGGGTGAACCATGACACCACAATAATGGGAGGGAAGAAAGAGGCTAAGTAAGTACAGAAACCTCTACAGAGTTGCAGCAACAAATCAGTGAACTCTTGCAAACTGTTGCAAACTGTTGCTCTATTAGCTGAGCCAAAGATTTGTACCTAGCTCTTGTTTCTTGCCTGGAACTGAGCCCTGCAAAACTGGAAAATTTACACCCTCATTTCCTGCCTGAAGATGATTCTGAAAACTGGAGACTCTGGGTCAGGCCCTGAGATCTGACAACCCAACTCCTGGGGTCCTTTGGAGATCCAGGAAGATGGCATTTTTGTCTTGGTTCTTCCTGTCATTCATCACCTTCCTCAGTATCATAGAATTGGAAGAGACCTCAAGGGTGATCCAGTCCAACTCCCTACCATGCAGCAAATCACAATCAAAGCATCCATGACAAATGGTCATCCAACCTCTGTTTAAAAACCTCCAAAGAAGGAGACTCCACTACTCTCCGATGGAGTATGTTCCACTGTCAAACAGCTCTCACTGTCAGGAAGTTCCTCCTAATGTTTAGGTGCAATCTCTTTTCCTGCAGCTTGCACCCATTGCTCCAGGTCCTATTCTCTGGAGTAGCAGAAAACAAGCTTCCTCCAACTTTAAAATGACACCCCTTCCAATACTTAAACAGGGCTATCATATCACCTCTTAACCGTCTCTTCTCCAGGCTAAACATACCCAGCTCCCTAAGTCTCTCCTAGTAGGGCATGGTTTCCAGACCCTTCAGAGTTGACCTCCTCTGGACCAGTGTCATCCAGCTGCAAATTCCTGATCATGCCAAACTTTTGCACCAGCCCTTTTGCACAGACCTACTTATCAGCTCTGGGACACCAAATCAACACCAGCTCTTCTGAGACTAGAAGAACATCACCCTTTGTTTGCACAGAGGCTGTGCAAACTGTACCCCACCCTTTGGTTCTCTTGGCACTTTGGGGAAGAATCTATGTCTTGTGCAACCATCGCTTTCAAAACCTGCTCAGAATTCAGACACGCCGCCTGCCTGATGGTAAAACAACTCAGGAATGCCCTTTCAATTAAGCAGCCATGCCAAAAGTTTCTGGGCTTTAATTGAGTCCCAGGATGCATCTATTATACACAACACAGGGAAAACTCTGGACATCAAGGCACAGTGCTATTTTATTTATGCCATGTAAGCTTTTAAAATGCTCAAAGCAGCACCCTGTCTCTCCAGTTCATTGACATATCTTAGCCCCCAAAGGCAACAAGCAAATAAGCAAGAACTCATAAGCTTCTGAGAGTATCATCCACACATAAGAAGTTTTATCTCATTGCAGGTGAGTTCAAACTTGACCTTTGATTTAGGGGTGTAAATCTTGATTTATTTATGAATGAACATTATATATATATATTTGTGGTTGTTGTGTGCCTTCCAGTCATTTCCAACTCATGGCAACCCTAAGGCAAGCCTATATGGGATTTTCTTTGCAAGTTTCTACAGAGGGGGTTTGCCAATGCCATCCCATGAGGCTGAGAGTGTGTGACTTACCCAAGGTCATCCAGTGGGTTTACATGGCCGAGCCAGGATTCGAACCCTGGTCTCCAGAGCCATAGTCCAACACTCAAACCATTATACCACACTGACTTCTATCTATCTATCGAGCTATCTATCGAGCTATCTATCGAGCTATCTATCTATCGATCTATCTAAAGATTTGTCCCCACTGATCCAGATTCTGAAAGTTTTTTTTTGTTTTGTTCTTTGCATTTTCTGGAGGGGGGAGAGTGTTTGAATTTCAAAATTTCTTTTAGAAAAAAACATCACATTTTTAATGTTAATAACATAGTTACATTTTTGCCTCGAGGTATTCGATTTTGTGCAAAATACCTGTTCAGCAAAAACATCACAACTTGTGCAAAAAAGAAAAAAGGTCTTTGCTTTTGTGCAATAATGTTAAATATTCCTTCCGTTTTGTGCAAAATACTTCTGGACCTAAACTGACTCAGAGGTCCACTGAATGCCCAGAGAAGCAGGCAAAGAAAAAGATACTCACACAATGACGTATGGGTTGGGGACATTGCCCTTCCGAGTAGAAGGTACGTTTTTGGCCCCATGCAAGGTGACGGTGACGGATTCCTTCTCAGGGTTAGCCAGATGCCAATCATTGCCTGGCGAAGTCACCACAGGCTGCCCTGGTGCAGCTGGATCTTCCTTTACCTGCCAAATAGAAGTACAAGGGATGTAAGAGTCCCAAATTGAAGCCTGCTGTGCAGAAGCTGCAGAATGGGGTGGCAAAGTCACTGGAAACAGCAGCATATCCTTCACCGGTTGGCCCAGTCTGGCATTTCTCTCCCCTTCCCATGTTGTCTAGCTTGAGATTATTTCTCACATGGCATCAAGTAGCATGAAACTGGCTTTTATAGCAACATTGGGCAGCATTTTAATGCAGGAGTGGGGCTCATGCAGCCTTCTAGATGTTGACTGCAAGTTCATAAACTGGCTTATAGATTGCAAACCTCTTAGAGAATGTTGTGTTCATTGCTAACCAGTATAGAAATGTAAATGCTGTAGCTATTGCTAAGTTCCAACAATGCCCTAGCTTGCAATGCCAATATTGAGGAATGCTGGGAGCTGTAGTACAGGGATATCTTGTTTTCTTTTTGGTAGACTGGGTCCTTTGCTATCTCTTAACTACAATGGGCCCTTGGTATCCGCTGGACTTTTCTTCCAAGATCCCCCATGGATACCAAAATCTGTGGATGCTCAAGTCCCATTAAATATCGTGACATGATAAAATGGTGTCTCTTATATAAGATGGTAAAATCAAGGTTTGCTTTTTGGAATCTGTATTTTGTTTAAATATGTTCAAGCTGTGGAGAGTCAAATCCATGGATGAAGCATCTGTGGATATGGAAGGCCCATTATACAGGCAGGCAAATCTACCATAATTTTCAAAGAGAGTTCCTCAGAGCCCTCTGGACATTTTAAAATATACACATATACACATAATGCAACAAGACTTTCAGTCACCTTTTGTGCACTAGCAAAGTCTCAGAGGAAATTGTTGGTGACAGATAAAGATACTGTCCTACTCCACCTCAACTCCCTCCAGCAGTCTTTTTAATTTTATCTTAGGATGTCATGAAGCATGCCAAAAAATAATAATAAATAAATCTCTGCCAAGATGCAAAACTAAGCAATTAGCCCACAAAACAGTTTTTCATTCATTGTGGGCTCAGGAAAAAAAAATGTGGGTTTTTTTAATTTTAATTCAGCCAACCTTAGACTGTGGGATAATCTGTCAGAAGAGATTTGACTGCCGTCCAAATTTAAAACAGCAGGAAAGAGCAGTCTCCTCCAGCAGACCTATCCAAATGATTTTAAAATTGTGAATTTTAAATTAGCAGGTTTTAAATATGGCTCGATTCTTTTAATATGTACTTGTCTTAATTGTTCTTTTAAACTGATGCTGTGTGTTTTTAACTGACGTTGTGCGTATTTGACTAGTATATGTTTTTAACTGATGTTAATCTGTTGTTGTTCCCAACTTCAATCCATGGGAAGATGTTGCTAAGAAATAATAATAATAATAATAATAATAATAATAATAATAATAATAATAAATAGTAGTAGTAGTAGTAGTAGTAGTAGTAGTAGTATCCCTCCCAATATGTTCAACACCTTGGATAGCTCCTTGCCTGATGAAGAAGCCAATGAAGCTTTGAAAGCCTGAAACGTGTATATTGTGCATTTTGGTTGGGCAATAAAGGTATCACTGTTTGGTGGGTTTTTGATTGGATTTGCTATATGGCCCAACATGGTTACCCTTGAATGTTTTCATTTAAACTCAGTGTAGCTGCCAGAGGCTTTAAAAACTGCCTCCTCTCCCTTCCACCAGGG